GCGGTCTTTAGCCTCCTTGTTGTTTTCTGGGCTGTCCTCAGCTGCCACATGCCTCAAAGTGAACCCGAGAGGAAGCGGTGTTTGGGTGGTAACTTTTACTCCCATCTCGGGAGGGTGAAATTAAAGTGGAAGCTGCAGACACAGGGTAAGGTTAAGTTTGTTCATGAAATCTGCATCCTGGGGAGGCCAAAAAGCAAAGCCTCCAGATGAGTTTCCACGGCTGTGAATAAGAGCTCCTGGCGGATCAGGCGGAGTGCCTCTGCTCGCATTTACTGTATTTATTCGATTTTTTTTTTCTCAGTGAGAAACTTGAAAGCAAGACCTGCGGTGGAAGTTGCTGGCCCTCGCTATGTTTACTTGGAAGTAACTCACCCAGAATTCTATGAGGCCTGTGAGGCTATTCCCAGGTTTGCCAGTATGAATCTGCCGGTGATAATAATGACAGTAAAAGGGTGGGTTATATATAAAGAGAGCACAGCTCTTGTGGAGGCTCAGTGCTCAGTGAACATTAACAGATCTAGCAAGAGCTCTGCATGAGAAGACGGTCCTTTCTCTCTTTCTCTCTCTCTCTCTCTCTCTCTCTCTTTCACCCTCCCCTCCTCCAGATCAGGACCAGAGTGCAAGGACAGTAGCTGGGCCTAGCCCTCTTCTTGAGCTGATGGCTTGATGCAAGCTATTCACAAAAGCTTTCCCATTTGCAAAACTTGCTCCAAATAGCTATGTTGGGTTAAGGCAGGGGTCCCCAACCCAGAGTCTGGAATGGTACTACGGGCCCACGGCATACCAGAAACCTGGATGGATGGGACTTCGCACAAGCGAAGTCCCATCCATGGGATGCAGGCAGCACCTGATACCATGCCCCTTCTGGGCCATGGGGGTGAGGGAACTCTCTACAGAACCAGTCCCTGTTGCCCAAAAGGTAGGGGACTGTTGGGTTAAGGTCCTGGCAAGGAAAAAAAAAAGAGAGAGCTCCTAAACTACCCTAGTCTAAAATTTAAGCCACCAGCTCCTGTTTCAGTCCTTTCCAGATTCTTAAGTAGAATAAACCAGGAAATCTTTTCCTGCCAAAGTTGCTGGACCAGCACCTTGCTGAAAATGTCAAGATTTTGTGTCACTTATCCCGAGCCTTATTTAGGGCTGAGCTGCAGAGAAAGGTTTGTTTTTTTTTTGAAAGGGAAAAAAAGCAACAAGTTTCCCATGGAGAGGGAAAGCTCAATGAAATGGGCTGAACCCTACCAAGCTGTCAAAGTGCAGAAGTAAGTCCTTACCTTAAAAAGGAACTAGAGACCTTCGAGGAAGGATATCATCTTCTTTTACCTCTATGTTCATTTAATATTTTAAACTGTTGATTCACCCCTCCTTCCAACTCCTGTAGAGATTCCTATTAATTTTACACACGCATATGTTTTGCAGCCTCATCCTATAGTTTAAAGTATTTTTCCCTGGAGGGGGTGGGTTTTTTTTTTCTTTCGAATTCTGAAATAGTCCTTCCAGCTGTTGGAGAGGCTGTTTTAACACCGCTCCTGGTTGTGGGTACTGATTAAGATGCTTTTAGAGTAAATGAGCAGATGCTGGCAGAAGGATCTTGCGCACACCACTTAAGGTACTATTTGCCCAAGGGATATTTTATCAATTAACATTTCAGCCAGTAAAATCAAAACGTTAGGGATGCCTTTTTCTTTTCTTTTTCTTTTTTTTGTTGAAGCCCAAAGCTCTTAACTTTCTGGATCCCGGTGACTCTTAGATTCCCCTTGCCACACAGATAGGTTTTCCAGGCATTGGCAGCAGGTCAGATCATACAGGGGCTGGGTGGGTGAGGAAGAAGGGATTCTCCCCCAAATCAATTGCCAGACTTTAATATTTGGTCTGCTACAATCACTTTCATTCCCATGAATGCAGATTTGTTTCTTCAAGAAAGCCCCCCATTCCTGTGATCTGGGCAAAACGGAAGCTGGGAGAAAAAGTGAGCACAGAGCCCCCATACACGGACTAGGAGGGGGTCAAACTGGGGCAGAATCCCACAGGAGGAATTGCTGCCTTGACTTTCCTTTAAGGATATCCCGAGGCCATTATGGGTGACTCTCTTCGTGTTCAGGTGCTGTGCATGTTCAAGGGCCCTGGTAGCGCAGCAGACTAAAGCACTGTTGTTAACATCAGCTGCCTGCAATTACTGCAAGTTCAAATCTCACCAGGCTCAAGGTTGACTCAGCCTTCCATCCTTTCTAAGGTAGGTAAAAAGAGGACCCGGACTGTGGGGGCAATAAGCTGACTTTGTATAAATATACAAAAGTATGAAGGCTATTGCTTAACGCATTGTAAGCCGCCCTGAGTCTCCGGAGAAGGGCGGCATATAAATCAAATCAAAAAAAAGGGGGGGGGGACGCATTGGTTTCCTCTCTTCTACAACTCGGGGAGGGCCCCCAAAGACCTCCAAGCTGGGCAACGCCACTCCGTTTAAGCTCCAGGCTCGTAGAGAAACAGCGGAAGGAATGGCATGCCAGACTAATTAAAAAGAATAATGCAGGGGACTCTTGGTCACATCCTATCTATATTTCTTTCTTTCCCACATTTACATCGCACAGCGCTCCTAGCAAACCCGACAGCCGCAGCTTTATCTAACGTCTTTCTACATTTAGAGACATCAATGGCTGGTAGGTTTCAATTGTGGCATATGTTTTGTTACCCTCCCACACACACCAATTAGGGATCAGACTTTTTTTCTAAAATATATCTTTCCAAGAACAGGACGCGCAAGGATTCCATCCTCCCTCCCCCACCCTCAATATATTCTCATTAAAGCACTTTTAACAACCGGGATAAATTTCCTCTGCTTATCTTCTTGGATTGCCTGATGCTCCCCAGGCTGCTTCTCTATTTTAACAACATGGTTTATGTATCTATTACTTATTTTAAAAAGGAAAATATATTCTCTACATAAGCCTCCAAAGGTTTCATTATCTTTATAAAAAGCCCTACTGTACTAACCTTTTTTGATTCCTCCTCATTCGGTAATAAATCACCAAGTGGAGATTTGAGCCATTTTATTTATTATCAGAAATCACATAATAATACATTCAATTTATGGTCATCTTTATCATTATTATGAAAGGGGAAAAAAAAGAAAAGAATACATGACTATATAAAGCCGGGGGAAACGTGCTATGACAGGCATTTGCATAGGTCCTACGTATAATATGCTTGAGGTAAGAAACAATTTACATTGGGACTCTACCGCGAGCGATAGCTATGTAATAACAGCGAGAAATCCACTAGCCGGAAGGACCGAGGGAGACGTCGGACACACACACACACACCGGCGACTAACACAAGACGAACAAAATCGACACAGAAGAATACTTGAGTTCAGTCAGAAAGAGAATATTGCATATATTTCAGCGCCTTCGTTTTTAGTGGATCGGCCCCTCCCTCCCTCCCTCCCTCATTCCATCCCACCCCACCCCACCCCCTTCCTCCTTCAAATGGGGAAGTAGGGATTGCCTTGGATCCTCAGGAGCACAGCCTGGGTTTAACTTTGTCTGTGTGTGTGTGTGTGCTGATGTCTGAGGTTTCCAAGCGCAGGGAGAGCTCAACTGCCTTGGGGCCGTGAAATAGCATATTAAACAAGGCAGCCAGTGCCCCTTATGGGCACGGCCTCCTTCTTCTCCCTCCCCGGATGACAGGATTTACCTAATCGAGCCTGCTTACACCGACTGTAAGCCGAGGGCGCCTGGTAAAGCCCCACACTTTCAAATACCTTTCCCCAGCCCACCCTCCCCGCGACGGCGAGTTAACATTAGCCCCGGGTTGCAAGGCGTCGCGAGCTGGGCGGGAGACCCGGGATGGTTAGGATTGCGACGGCGGCTTCCTCGAGATAATAAATCTAGGGTAATATTTGTAAGTCCGATGCCTTGAACCGCTCTCACGCCCGAGTCCTGTTCCCCCCACCCCTGCCGCGGCCAAGGCTACCTGATCTCATTTATACAATACCTATATCACATTATATTGCAGTGGCTCAAGGGCATCTCTCTCCCTTCCTCCCCCCCCCCCCCCCCCTCTCTCTCTCCCTCTCCCTCTCCCCTCCCACTCTCCCTCTTTCGCTCCCTTGTTTTAAGACCGGACACACTCCATACAAACCACAGGCTCCCGCCTTACAGGACAAACAAGAAAGCCGAATCAGGGCAAAAGGGATTCTCGGGTCAGCCGCTGCTAAAGGGAAGGAGACAGGGAAACTCTCTCTTTGGCTTTGCGGTCCTCGGAGAAATAAGTAGGACTCTACACGTCTTCCCACCGTTCCCAAGGGCCTTCATTGCACGGTGGCGGAAGAATTAGCCATAAACACGTGTACATTTATTGCACACCACTATTCTGGGATCTCCCTCTCGCTTTCAGGTCACAGCCAGGTGGAACTTCCTCTCTTTTGTTGCTGTGTGTGTGGGAAGCCTGCAGAAGGTGTGCCTTAGATAGACATTAGAGAGGGTCCAGAAAGGAGGATAGACATTAGAGACAGTCCAGTCCTCTGCAGAAGGATGAGGAAGCGGCTAAGGGACGGGACGAGGAGGAAAAAAAAGTATCCGCACAGGCCTAAGTTTTTTTAAAAAGGGGGGGGCGCTTATAGAGAAGGGGGGGGCGGCCAAAGGCATTTGAAAGACTAGCCGGCAGATCGTAAAGGCGAGGAATTCCTGCTACCAGCCGTGACCGTGAACGTCCCTGCCAAGAAGCCGGCGCTAGTAGCCAAGAGTCTCCGCAAGCCCACTATGGCGGTTATGACTGGAGTGTAATTATGAAAGCAGCAAAACTGGGGTGGGGGTGGGGAAAGAGAGGACCCGAGAGGGAAGAAACGTCCAAAACCTGGCAGCTGTTAGAAAAACAAATTGCCACTTTCTTTAGGAAGTAGATAACCCAACCACCAACAACACAAACGACCAACCAAGAAACAACTATCGCCCGCTCTTGTGCTTTCCCCTCCCTCCCTCCCTCCCTCCCTCCCTCCCTCCCTCCCTCTCTCTCTCTCTCTCTCTCTCTCTCTCTCTCTCTCTCTCTCTCCTGTCCTGCTCTAGATGGTAAGAAGAAAAAAAATGCAGATGAAACCCTGGGGGAGAGTCGGTGGCAGACTTGAAGAGCTGGGTGGAAATCACCCCTATCTGCACGAGTGGATTCTGTAGTGGGAGCCATGCATGGTGGGTGGGTCAGAAAAAGGAGAGAAATAACGCGACACACTCCATAAATGTTCACAGTTGGCAGGTGCTACCTATGGCAAATCGGGAATGGAAATCAAGTGTGTGTGTGTGTGTGTGTGCACGCGCGCGCGTACAGAGATCCGAGAAAAGGGCGTGCAGGCGCAGACAGAAATCTCTTGAATTTTGAGGGAGGGGGGGAGAAAACAGGGCTTCCATACTGCTTTTCTTCCTATTCTGTGCTTCACAGTGTAAATATAAGACATATTAAAAGAGTGGGGGTGATAGGACAAGGGGAACACCCCCTTTTGGTGTTCATTTAACCACAGAAATCACTGATAAATGCACTAATATTAGAGGGCACCTATCATGCAAGCGGGAAATGCTATTAATAGCTTAATTAGTTCCACTGTGGTTAATGTATATAGAAAAAGGGGGCCATCTCCCCCCCCCACGCTTCTCACCACCTTCTTAACCGTCAATAAATAGAAGGGCACAATCAACAGCACAACCTCTCCTTCAACCGAGCTATTATTAAAGCACAAATTGAAATTATTGTTAAGCATTCTATTAGGGGAGAGAGGCAGGCAGGGAGCAGAATGCGCGGGGGGGGGGGGGGGGGGGGGAGATTGCAAGGAAGGCAGCCCGTTTACGCGGAAGGCAGCCTTCGAAAGGCTCAGTTCACGGATAAAACAAACACATACAATAAAATGAGGTCACTTCCTTAAGAATTTTCCTTTAAAAAAAAAACTTTACCAATGCTGTAGAAGGTCATCTCACTAAAGACAACGCACACCCCCACACAAACACACACATACATACATACGCACATACACGTACCTACAGATAATTATAGCCCGTGAACCACTCTGGGGAAGCTGAGTGAACGGTCCCACTCTCTTGCCGCAGTGACTTCCAGGACAATAACTCCCGAGTAGCACCAGCCCCCCCCCTTCCATTGCCTGAGCATCCCCACCACCATCCCCACCACAATGGGTAGACAGACAGCTGGGTAGATAATCTGTACCATCTGCGTCGATAGAGACGGAGATATCCAGCTCACCTGGTTGCCACAGTCGCCTCTTCCCGAATCGCGCCTTGAAAGCCAGTTCTGACCAAACCTGTAAAGCTGGCTCGCCAAAGCCTCCGGGAGAATGGGTTTCCGAGTGATTTCAGTCCAAGGTCACATCCACGCCTGCTTTGTTTTGTTTTTTTCCCTCCAGCGAATAACAAAATCCCAACAGGACAACCTCCCCCCCCCCTCCCGCATCCCTCCTCCGCCGAGCAGCGGGCAGCGAATCCTTCCTTCTCCAGCTCCTTTCCTTCCTTCGCCTCTCCCTGCCGACGAGCTAACCCAACCCGACCGCCAGAGAGTCAGCAGGTAAAGAGAAAACGGGGAGGGGAGCCTTTTGGGACTTGTTGGGGAAAGCTTGGTACGTGTGGCGGCTTGCCCAAGCCAAGAACCATCCAGCTGAAATGGCATTCACGGAGCACTCCCGACCCTGGCTGGCAAGTTCTTGTTTTAGCTGCAAGAACCCAGGCGGACCGAGGGAGGCGTTCCCTGGTATCTGCGCATTCCCATTCTAAGCGCTTCCCTACAGATTTAGGAGCGGCAGAAAAAAAACATTTTCTCATATTCACACTCTCGCTTTCTTGCTCGCTCGCTCGCTCTCGCACAGACACACCCGCGCGCACACAACTCCCCACCCCCCCCCCCACGCCTACTGCCGGGCATTTTGAAAAAAGGGATACTGATTAATATTAATAACATTATCATTCAAGGAAAAAAAAAATCTCAACCCCCATCAGCTAAGAGTCTCCGGGACCATCAGCGACCACGAAGGCTTAGGAAGAGTCTTAGCGGTTCCCCCCCATCCGGGTGGGAGGAACTCTAAAAGAAAGACAGCGCTTGCTCTCTGAGAAGGAGTCTTTTCTTCTTCATCCGTCGGTTCTGAAACCAGATCTTCACCTGCTGGTCACTCAGGTTTAGCCGGTCCGAGAGCTCTCTCCTTCTTTGGCGGGTAATGAACTCGTTGACCATAAATTCGCCTTCCAGCTCGGCTAGTTGCAGCTTCGAGTAGGGTTTTCGCTTTTTGCGGGACCTTGTGTGCATCGGATACCAGGGAGCACCTAAGAACAGGGTGATGGAAAAGGAGATTTAATATGCAGAGCGAGAGCCAAGTGAGAGAGAGAAGGGACTGCATATCTCAGGAGGGGTCCCTTCTCTCCTTTTACTCACTTCTCAGACAGATTCCATATATAACTTCTTCAATGCCAAATTCTTAGGGATGTTACCTCGAACATGGATCACCCTCCCTTAAGGAAAACAAAGTTCTCAAAACTGCAGGGATCTGGAAAAATAATTAGAGGTTTAAAAGCTGGCTGAGATTCTCTTACAAGGGGGGAGAGGGAAGCCCAGACATTGCCCACAATTGTTATTTGGGAAGGAATATTAAAGAAGGAAAGAATCCCAATCTCTTATTTTTTTTAAAAAAAAATTAGATCAGATAAACAGAACGAAGCCCATCAGATCAGCGGTATAAAAGTTTCCATACCTTGATAGGCAAGGATTTAAGGAGCCTCAGGGGCTGGTACAGTTTTCGAAAGCTACTTTGGAAGAACTTTAGGAGGAGGAGGGGGTTAGAGAGTCCCTAAAGCCAGTGGGGGGGGGGGGAAGGGCCGGATTTTACCCGCTGCCGCTCCGCGAGAAGGGAAAACCGAACCGATCCCTCTTCCCGGAAGAATTTCCGACGGGAGAAAGAAGCGTCTAACCGGAGGACGTGCTATTATGGTTCAAGACGTCTCTTTATTCAGGCACCGGCATCTCCCCGGTTTGCGGTGGGGGGGAAACGCTGGACTGACCGCGAGGAGACGACGAGGTTGGAGGATCAAGTTCTAGGTAGAATTTAGACCCCCTTCTTCCAGAATGAACCGGTCCGGATGATCGTCTGGAATAGCCTCACTCTATCAGAGTTAACATATAACACCCCCGGCCCCTGATGAGGATTTTTCCCCCGCGGACTAAGAAAGGGCGCCTGTGAACTTTTAATAAATCGGGAAAGAAAGTGTCATCCCGACCAAGCGCCACCCCGCCCGACCGCTCCGGAGACGGCCAGAAGCTGCGTAGAGATTGGGGAGGGGTAGGGAGAGAGAGAGAGAGAGAGAGAGAAAGGCAAGGGAAATCGCCTTCCCGTCTGTCTACTTGGGCCCTCGCGATCGCTTTTTTTTTTAATGGGATATTTACATGTTTATAGGCTTTTTTCCCCCCTTTTAAAAGAAGCACCTCCTAATAAAGCGCGAGGCATTTGAGGGCTACCCCTAGTGGCTTCGGCACAAATCGGCAGGCGGGCGGGCGCAACCCAGCTGCTAATTTCCTGGAATTTTGGAGCAGACTTTCCCAGCCCGGAGGGAGAGGTAGGAAAGGGGGGAAAAAAGGAGGGAAGGGAAGGGAAGGGAAGAAGGCGTTGCATAAATCCGTTTTGCTTTGCTTATGAAGAGCCGACTCTTTTTCTCCCAGGCGCAGGATCTTACCCCCAGCGGACAGATTGCTTCCTTGGTTGAGAGGGGAGACCAGTGCGGATGGCTCGTTGGTTGCGCCCTTGTTCCCTTCATTGAGCAAGGAGCTGCTGGAGTCTGACTCCAACGACTGACAAGAAGGGGGGTCATGGGACACCGCCGCCTCAGGAGCCGGATAATCAAATTTGCCGAAATTGCCGCTCATTCCGTGGGGGATGCCCGACTCGAGGGGCATCAAGGCAGCGTCCCTAACTCTCTCTTCCCTTTTGAGGGGCGCGTTCTCGGAGCACGCCTCCCTATAGTAGCACTTGCTTTCTTCCACTCTAGCTAGGTCGCAGGCTCGGCTGAAGGAAGGGTTAATGGACACGGGGCTGCTGAGGTAGGGCTGGGGATATCCGTTGCAGGGCTCCGAGGATGCCCAGGGCAAAGAACAGACATTGTCCCGTCTTGGGTAGGAGAGAGACGGCAAGCCGGGTAGTTGTCCTCCGGAGGCTCGGAAATTGGGAAAGTAGAAGGTGTCTCCCGTATGGATGTTCACCAACGGTCCCACAAACCCAGGATTAAGGAGATTATGTTCGCCCATTTCCGCGGGCCTGACCAAGAGCTTCTAGTTTATTGCTATCTGACATTAAACATAGTTAAACCTAAAGGTCCACCCGATTGGTTTGGAGGGGTCACGTGAGCGCCAACTTGCGTTAAGGAAGGGTGCCACCCACCTTTCGCAATTTGAGACGGAACGCAACACGAAGTTCTGTCGGGCGGGCGGGTTCTTGCATACACACACACACACACACAATAAAATAAAACGCGTATTAACCACCGCCTTGAGAAACCAGAAGTATTGTAAAGAAAATATGCATATCAATTCTTTTTTTCCCCATAAAGGATTGACACCTCTTTTTTTTCCCCCAGCCACGTTAAGACTCCCTTTATGCAGCTGACAAAAATTAAGCTGTGTTTTCATTAATTGAATCCGCTGAAATTTACAATAACTCCCTAATAAATTCCTATTAGATATTGTGTCATGTAAAGTTTAAAGGCTCTTTAGGAAGAGGAATGAATTTAACCACAACAGGCTCGTATTTATAGATGCATGGGGCGGAGGAATTTCAAATCCCCTCTGCGTTTAAGAGAAAATTCTTCCCCTTTCTTCCTTGTTTAGTTTCAATAGGAGAAGCAGCGTTTGCATTTCAGAAGAATTTTCTTCCTTAGGGGAAGATTTTTCTTTCCCTCTAGAAGTAGAAAAAAAAAAGGGAATTAGAGGGAAACCACGGCCAGTCCCTTCGGGCGGTCTTGCAAGGGGGATTCCCCTTTTGCAAATGAGACCCACTGAACAAAGGGGCTCAAAGGAGACTTTCCCCCTCTCCTTGATCTTACCTGTCCTAACTGGCGGGAACTGTTTCTGGATCTTTAATTCCAGATCTTTAATTCGAGGAGGAATCGGGTTTTTATCACCTCCTGGTTTACAGGACAGACCAGGCGGATTGTTCCTCCGAAGTGTTAGTGCTTTTTGGAAAGAAAACTGCTGGGGAAGTGGGGGGGGGGGGGTTCTTCAAAGAAAGTCAGATAAGTCTCAGAGACTCTTCAAAAAGAAAAGGAATTCAGGAAAAATCCATCTCAATGCTTTTGAGTACAAAGGAAAAGAGTTGTTTGGTTTGTGGGAAGGTTTACGCTTCTCTTCCCCTTTCCAGAAAGGAGGAATTTTGTACTCTAGACACTATTTCCAAGACCCGACGGCTCATTTACCGTAAATACCCCAATACCAGTAACTTTCATTTCGCAGGGAATGCTCCTGAAAGACTTCTGCTCTCTCAACCCCCCAGATAAACCAAGTAACAGAAGGCCCCCTGCACGCTTTCAAAGCCCTACTCTGGGGCGGTTCAAACACTGGAGGATTCAGCATCGGGCTTCCTCCCCATTAGGAAACACTACCTCTTCCCTAGCTATGTAGAGAGGATGTCCAGCTCCGGAAAGGAGAAGAACCAAAAACACGTGCTAATCAAATAAGCACTTTTATTTCTTAACCCTGTTAAAGGCAGCTCCCTGGTCTTCCATTTGCCTCCCTTGCACGCCCTTCTGGGTGTCTGCTTCGATGCGAGGACTCCGTATCCAGTTGAACCTGGGCTGAGAGGCATCCTTTAGGGAGGATTTCACGCCCCCCCCAACTTTGAACCTTTTCAGGGGCTGCAATCAACTCTCCGCAGGACCCGAGTTTCAGTGGAGACTCCTTTTCCAGCGCGGTGAAATTGCTGGGCAACCTAATAAATATGTAATCCGTATTCCTCCTACATTTGGAGCTCCTGGGTTTGTTCTTTGGCGTTAGGATCTCCATTAAGCTCTCTGCCAGCCCGCGTGGCTTTGTTCTCTTGCTAAGGGTGACTGAGAAACGCCAGCTCCCAGGCGCTTTAAGGAGCCCCTCCGACCTCTTTAGGGCTTCAGGACAAGAATTGTACTTGTGTGAAGGTCCCCATCCCTCTATCCTACAAGAGCAGATCTCCCCCCCCCTCCCTCCCCCCCTCTCTTTTTTACAAACACATGCCCGTCCCCCACCAACCCTCCCTGGCAGCCAAGCGCCAAACGTTTTCCAAGTTGATTTACCGCGTGAGACGCCTGTGATTTCACTCCTACCCACCGTTAGACCTTCACGATCTCATTGACCTCAGTGGGATTTAAAGCTGCTTAACTCTTCACAAGGTGCTGGCGTTTACCGCCGGGAATATTTTTCCTAGGTAGGTAAGTAGATAGGTAGGAAGGTAGGTAGGCAGGCAGGCAAGGTGAATCATCGGCTCTTGATCCTGGCACATCCAGACATTCATTTCTTATAACCAGCACGTGCTATTCAAATCATCAAGACTATTTTCCCACTGTCGAAGGAGAAACGTCCAGGTATTTCTGCTTCCTTCTGAATCATAATTCCACCCCCACCAGCTATAGCCTTTAGAAGAAAGTCTGATTGATTTAGCAGCTCCCCAAACTGGACGGGGAAAAGAAAAAGTTTGCTCGGTGGGGATGTTATTTCAAGACTCCAGCGTTTTTAGGGCGATCTATTGGAAAGGAAAGGAAGGAAACCAGTTCGGGTTTTCGGGTGCACAGCCGAGATCTGTAATCCTGCCTGCACTGAGAAAGTAAGTCCCTTACCTTCATGAAAAAAAAATGTTTCTGGGTTAACCCCCCCCACCCCCACCCCTTATGTGTCGCTGAACGGTGAGAGTTGTTGACAGCAAAGCCTGTATAGGTTTGAATCCCAGAGAGCTCTTTCTGGAGAGAAAATCCACTGAACGGTGCAGGAATGATTCGACCTTTCAGTCCAAGTTGTGCTGAAGCCGAAAGAGAAAAGAGGCGGGTGGGGAAGAGGGGCACGTATCCCACTTATTGATGCAAGACAATATCATCATTGCGGTTTCTGAAAATAAAATACCCTGGAAGTTTAAATCAGTGGCTTTATTGTGCCACACTTTACTCCCGGCTATTGTATCTGAAATCACGAATTTAAAGAAAGTGGCGGAACTTAATCCCCTCTTCTTCTTTTTTTTTCTTAAGTAGGACAAGTTCAACGATCTCCTCTCCCTCGCACTGATCCTTTACACAACTGATGTCCCTCAAATCGAGTTTAAACAGCCAAGTTTTCAGCCTACCCCTCTCCGACAGCTTTCTTCGAGGAATAAAGCAAAAGAAAAGGCAGCGAGGCCGCCACAAACCCGTCCCCAAAAGGAAGAAGTGCAACAGGGGGGAAAAGCAGCTGTTTCTAAACTCTCGCCTCTGCCCTAGAGGAAGATCGACTATGGGCTTTTTAAAAAAAGAAAATCGGTTCTTTGTGCCGAACGAGCCGTTGTTTATAAACTTATTTCGGGATGGGATGGAGAGCGAAGGAACTCCAGAAAAATCTGGGAATCGGAGGGCGCTTTAGCCAGTTCAAGGTCACTGCCTAGGTTATGAAATGGCTTCTTCATCTTATGCAAATGAGGGTCTTAAAAGACACCCCAGCTCTTCCGAGAGAGAGAAAGAGAGAGAGGGGGGGGGAGCGCTCCCCCCCCCAACTTGGGTGCTTTCTGAAGCTTTGTTCGTGATCTTTTTCAGCGGTCCTAAATAGGCATTCTAGTTTTTGGCTGGCAGATCGCTCTACCCTCCGCATTGATCTTAGCGAAGTTCTCGCATCCCCTGGTGCTTCGCTGTCTCCTAAACTAGCTTTTGGGGAAAGAGCGGGAGGAGAAGGGCTGGAACTCAATAATGGTGCTTTCTTGATTACTCTCCATCAAGCAATTAAAATATCAACTTTTTAGAAGTATGTGTATTTGGGAAAAACAAGTTATTCACCTCCAAAAAGCATTAAAAAAATTAACTTTCCAATGAATAAGCCTAACTTTAAAGAGATTTTGAGTTCTAGATCTCCACCACTTTTTTTAGTTAGTCCAATTATGGAAAAGAAAGGAAAGGAAAGGGGAAAGGAAAGGGAAAGGGAAAGGGAAAGGGGAAAGGGGAAAGGGGAAAGGAAAGGAAAGGAAAGGAAAGGCAACTCTCAACTCGTGACCCAAATCACTGTCCTCCTAATTTAATTTAATGTAATGACAGGCATATCAAAGCTCTGAGACTTATTGGCACCAGGCAAACATTTTGTTAGCTTTCTTGGAAATCTCTGAGGCTACCAGTCTATATTTATGGATAAATGTTCACATGAGCACCAAAGTAATGAAAATGATTCGATTAAACTAAATTATCCAAAGGGCTGAATAATTCAACTTTGAATAGTTCATAGGAGCTGTGATGGAAAAGAGATTAAAGAGGAAGAACATTAGGTACTGTACAAAACAAAAGATAAGACAGAGCATGCCTAAATACTTGACTCTTGCGAGGATTCTTCTTCTTCTTCTTCTTCTTCTTCTTCTTCTTCTTCTTCTTCTTCTTCTTCTTCTTCTTCTTCTTCTTCTTTGTCCTCCTCCTCCTCCTCCTCCCTTTTTTACAATTCAATGATTTTGCCTAAAGGTTCTCATGTGCCCTTAAGAGTTAAATGCTTATGGTGTAAACTACATTTTCCCCAGCACTGCCAGCAGAGGCTATCCGTCTCCTGCTGGATTGATATGTAAACCAGTTCCCTGTGTCTTCGGGGAAGTAAGACTAATGAAGACAAAATAATAATAACTCTCTTTGCATGCTCTTCCTTTCATTGATTACTATTTGTTGAGGACCATCTGTTTCATTCTGAATTTGTGGAAACTGATCTCATTGATTTCAATGGGTCTTTCTTTCAAGCCTCATGGAGCACCACCTTTAAACTTTTCTTTCCAAACTTATCTTAGGCATTCCACAATAAAATTAATTACACATGGGGAAAAAATTCAACCCTCACCATTGCCAGATTCCAGATATCTCCTTTGCAATGATGTGATCCTCTTTTAGAGGAAGCAATCGCCTTGCTTTTAAAACCTCTTTTAAGCTTACTTGATTCCTGGGATAAGATACTTTTGTGGAAAGATCTGTGGCTACAAACTTTGCCCATGATGGTGTGCAGGGTTTCCATGTAGATGAAATCTAGTTCTCTTATGTCACTAGCACTTGCCCCCCTCTCAGAGTTTTACTAATAAATTATTGCAAAGACTATTTTGTGGATTTAAAGGAAGGGGCAGGGAAGATGGAAAACTAGTGCAACCATTGAAGCAACTAAGTTCCAGTATACATGCAGATAAACACACACACACACATACACATATATACACACAGGCACATTCTTACCTGGAAATCCGTCCCATTGAATTACTTTGAGGCCGAGATATGTATGCATCTGTTTTTCTCTGTTTCTCTGTTTTTTTCAGCCTTCCTCCCTAACGAGAGAAGACACGCATTCTTCTCTTTCCATAAAAGGAGGACTTTAGAAACCTCTAAAACAACTAACTTCCAAGTGCAAGTGGTACAGAACTAGGAAATGGCGGAAATTGGAGAGAGGGGCCTTTTACCTATAAAAAAAAGGGGGCTGCAGTTAAGACCTTATTCAAAGCCCTCGATACAAAAGAAAGAAAAAGGCTAAACTTGGGGTGCTTCCTTTTCATGCCTTTATTGTTGGCCATTAGGCTGCCTGTCTAGACTGGAAATGACACCTTGTTTATCTATACACGGAGCCAAAAGACACTTAGAGGGGATCAGTGCTGGTGGGGCTGCCAGAAGATCAAGGCTTTTGCTTTCTCGAGGATCACACTCAAAGCTGGTGATGCCAAGGTCAAATGGGCTGCATAGTCATGGTCAAGGCTAGCCCCATAGTGAGGATACAGCTCTCTCACCCAAGTGCCAATTTGTATTCAGCCCTTGAAAGAAGATCCTTTGCCAGGAATGGAATGTCCATCCTGGATCAGAAAGGGAATTTGGGGGGGGGGGAGGAAACCTATTGTTTCATATTACTCCTTTCAGCCCTGTGTTAAGTCCATCCAAGCTATATGTTAAGCTCAACCAGTGCACTCTAATGTGAAAGAAAGGGCCATTGATGTCAAATGGACTGGACTTCCAAACAGTATTTTAAAATTAAGGCATGACTGACAGATTTAGCAAGGTGATAGAGTCAAAAGGACCTTGAGTTGTGGGGAAAAACATGGAAATACATATTATATCTAACCCTGGGCAATGGAACTCTGCTTAAAACTCCTTCAATGGAGGAGGTGTCTTCAGATATCTTAGTTTGTCCCCTATGACATCCTTGATATGAATCCAGCTTTCCTTTAGCTCTGTTAGTTTTCTCCCATATGCCATAGCAGCCTTCATATTTACTGAACTTTTTCAAACTTTTTCAAACAGATTACAGATCAAGTGCTTGACTTCATCTACACTTCAATGATTGGGTTGCTTGAATGAAAAAAATGGGATTCACCGACCTCTTAGATTCCTGTCATTTTGTTGTCCCCTGACACATAAGCCTTATTGGAACTTTGTCATAAATAAAGGTACATGGGGTTATATAGGCTTAGACAGCTACCACTAGGCATCTTCTGAACTGAAATGCAAAATTTTAATATGGGAGGAATTTATAACATAGCAAACAAAAAGCCAGTTGGCCAGTTATTTGCCTTAATTGAGACCTTGCAGCTACCAACTACTGGTCCTTAAAACACATTTCCCCCTGCTTTACTTCTTCCTCACCTATTCTGCCCTCCCCCCTCCTGCCCACATACCACCTTGAAGACCCTGAGGAGTATTTTCCTTCACTATGATCACAACTACTTGCCAGAAGGATAATAAAGAGGGGGGAGGGGAGAGAATAGGTGTAGTTCAGCAACAAACCTTATTTAGCAGTAGGGAAGGTGAACAGGAGAGAGCCAGAAGATCTGTGCCTTCAGATCTGGGAGATGTGGTTCTTGACTGGGCCTCCTTAGGAGAATACCTATTAAAAATGGCACAATATGTGTTCTGTGTGTAATAGTCACATACTTAAGGTCTTGGTTCAGGTTATGAGAGTTTATTCATTTCTTCAGAGCTGATGACATCTACACCCCTATTGAAGCCAAAATCTAATGTTGCCATCAACATTAGCAGTAGATATATTTCAGTGGCATCTGTTTCTAGATTGCCTCAATATTGCCCAATATAATGTTTTTTTTTCCGAAATATCATCCTTACTGCAGACATGATCTGTATTTCCATATAGCTACAATAACCCAGAAGGCCTTTTCCTCTTAGATAGAATGATGGGTACATTGAACGGCAGACCTTCTAGAGACCAAACTTCAGAAGATGCCTAGTGGTAGCTGTCTAAGCCTATATAACCCCATGTACCTTTATTTATGACAAAGTTCCAATAAGGCTTATGTGTCAGGGGACAACAAAATGACAGGAATCTAAGAGATTGGTGAATCCCATTTATTTTTCATTCAACCAACCTAATCAATGAAGTGTAGATGTAGTCAAGCATTTGATCTGTAATCTGTTTGAAAAAGTTCAGTAAATATGAAGGCTGCTATGGCATATGGAAGAAACCTAGCAGAGCTGAAGGAGAGCTGGATTCATATCAAGGATGTCATAGGGGACAAACTAAGATATCTGAAGTCACCTCCTCCATTGAAGGAGTTTTTGCCCAAGGTTAGATATAATATGTTTTTCCGTGTTATTTCCCCCAACTTACCTCAAGATCCTTTTGACTCTATCACCTTGCTAAACCTGTCAGTCATGTCTTAATTTTAAAATACTGTTTTGAAGTCCAGTCCATTTGACATCAATGGCCCTTTCTTTCACATTAGAGCAGAGGTCTCCAACCTTGGCAACTTTAAGACTTGTGGACTTCAATTCCCAGAATTCCTCAGGCTGAGGAATTCTGGGAGTTGAAGTCCACAAGTCTTAAAGTTGCCAAGGTTGGAGACCCCTGCATTAGAGTGCACTGGTTGAGCTTAACATATAGCTTGAATGGACTTGTATTTGAATCAAGTTACACATTTTGTCAATGGAACCTAAATACCTACTTAAACACCACTGGGGTCATCAGCCTCATTTATAGAATGAGGCCAAGGCAGCTCCTTACAAGGTAGTCCTTGACTTACAACAGTTCATTTAGTGACCATTCAAAGTTACAATGAAAAAAGTGAACTTATGAATCATGTTTCACATCTACACATACTGTTGCAGCATCCCCATGGTCATGTGATCAAAATTCAGACACTTGGCAACTGACTCATATTTATGAAGCAAAGCTGGATTCATATCAAAGATGTCATAGGGGACAACTCATATTTATGAGTCAGTTACTTATGCAATATCCTGGGGTCATGTGATCACCTTTTGGGACTTTCTGACAAGCAAAGTCAATGGGGAAATCAAGATTCACTTAACTGGATTGTGTTAGTAACTTAACAACTGCGGTGATTTACTTAATAATTGTGGCAAGAAAGAGCATAAAATGGGGCAAAACTCACTCAACAACTGTCTCACTTAACAAGAGAAAGTTTGGGCTCAATTGTGGTCGTAAGTTGAGGAGCATCTGTATAGCAAAACCCAACGCATGTTTACCTAGCAACAGGTCTTACAGATGTACTGGTCCGTACTCCAAGGTAAAGGAAATGCAAGATTGCAATCTTAAATTGCTTGCAGGATTTTTGGTTTTGCTGATCTGTGGGCAAAAAGGAGCCTGATATATTAGCTTGGTTACTCCTACTGACTTCAAAAGGGAGAGGGAACTAATCCTACTGAACTCTTGAACTATTGAACCTCTCTTTTAGAAACTCTGGAGAAACTGCAAAAATCTTACTCATAATTGTTTTGTTTTGTTACTATATCTATGTTTTAAACTAGCTAGCTCTTCCCCCTTTTTTGGTTATA